TGTTGAAACAAATATTTTTAAAAAGTATGCGTATTTTTAAAGAAAATTGTTTGTACATCACTACTATATAAGTGATTTGTGTTATTTGTTATTACCCTGGAGGCATTATATTCGTTTTTGGTTTTAAAAACTATATTATAACAAGATCTCATTTTTAAAATAAAAGTTTTGTTAAATTGATTTCATGATTTTTATAAAAAAAAAATTGGCGATTTTTGGCGATTTTTTTTCAAAAATTGCGCTTTTTACAACGCTTTTATCAACTTGCAATGTTGTGTTCCAGAAACTTTCAATGTTGTGTTCCGACACCAAAGCAAAGCTTTGAAAAGCTCCTATAAAAAAGCATAGTGAATAGGGCGAGGTAGATGACATCTAGATGTCGCCCTATGTACTACGTTTGCTACACCGGAAATAGACGACACGCCATTTCTTTAAATAAAATTAGTTTGACTATTGTCAACTAAATCGAATGCTTTGTAAGTGAAGTGACTTGTGGACCACTTGAGGTATAGGTGGACCAGTTGGTAACCACTTTGGGACCAGTTAGTAACTAGTTCGTGGGACCAGTTGGTAACCAGTCCGGGAACCAGTTGGGAACCAGTTTGGGCCTAGGCCGAAACTACTTACCTTCGGTCCAGTTGGGGACCAGTTGGTCTTTTTTAAGCTCCTGTGGCCGTTTTAAGGGTAATTCTTGGGCTCCTGCACTGCCGCTCGGGGTTTCTGCCTTCTACGGTGGTAATTTTGGGCCGGGTTGCCTGTTTTGGCGGATTGTTGTGCTGTGTGCCGCGTATTACGTGTACCGGGTACCACTTTCTCGAGCGAATTGCTCTGGGGAACCTGTTGTGTGAGTTGCTGGCTTTTTGGCTAGACTTTGAGGAGGGTTTATACACGCATATCGGCGGAAATAGACGACACGCCATTTCTTTAAATAAAATTAATTGGTGCTCGTTTGTATGTACATACATATGTAAATGCATGTGTGTGCACCTTTCTATTAATATCGTTGAATTATTTTAATATCTATTGCAAAATTTTATTCAGACAGGACTAAAAAGTAGAAAATAAATAATATAAAAAAAACTTTTTAATATACAACGCTTTTATAAATGGACTAAAAAGTAGAAAATAATACTTCTCAGTCCCATAGAATTTGTTTTGATAACTTTTGTTTTTGAAATTTTAGCAAAAGTCATTATAAACAATCTATGAAATTGAAAATGAAAA